AGAGACCGTAGAATGGCTAGAAACTAAGCACAAAAAGTACTTTCTAATTACTAATCTCTAAAACGATTTGTAATTTTGCCTTAAAATGCAGGTTGATCCAAATGTTTCCAGAACAATTTAGTAAAATCTTTTATTTATATGAATTCATATCGGAGAAACAAAGTTGTGACGATACGGCATCTTTTAGATAACTGATCTTCTCGATAAATAATTCTGATTTTTATATATAGAATTGTTTCTAATCTCAATCTGCACATCAGATAGTGTAGCATGGAGCAAATAAGTTAGTCTGCAGAATACATGTTGCCCAAGTTCGCCTCCCAATGCAGCATTCAAACGTACCGGTAAAAGTTTGTACAGGTTCTATTCATAATAAAGAATTCTCTTTGAATCTTACGAAACTCATAACTCTCTTACAAGTAGATTCCGTTTCTGCTTGACTGCTATCCTGGGCCTAATCACAATTTTCGTTGTTTTCAATTCTCGTAATGTCCATCTATCCAATTGTTCTAAAACGAACTGACAACTACTTTCTAAACATTTCTCATCCGAGGCTCTGCCCTAATATACGTTTCTGATTCCGGTTTCGGCGTTGACTATATTAAGAGGGGGTATTTTTTTCTGGTCTACTTCTTGATCTTTTAACATAATTTTTATCTCAAAGAATACGTTGATGCACAACTAATGGTCAATGAACTGAACTCGCCATTTTGTCCGTAATATTTGGTAGTTACTCAATATATTTCTCTATTTGAGTATGTTTCCACCTAATATTTAGCGTTGCCCTCAATAGTAGAATGTATGCTCTCTCTCTCTCTCTCTCTCTCTATATATATATATATATATATATATATATATATATATATATATATATATATCAGACCCTTAGTGTCAACATGTGTACTGCAGCCACAGTAGAAGTGGTGTTTCTTGGACAAGATAGCCCTCTCCAGGTCGGTTTTTGAATTCAGAGTTTTTCCTTCTCCTAGACCAGTCTGTACTGCTATTTACCCAAAGCTGGGTGGGAGAGAGAAGAGGATTAATATCTTTTCCAAGGATATTAGCACGAAAGTGAATGTAATGGACCCAACTGGAATTCGAGCTCTGTGCCGCTATCTATTATTCCACCGTTCCTCCCTTATATATATATATATATATATAGTGATCTTGTTGATGCTGAGCCTTAGACTGTTGTTTCTACTGTTGATCTAGAGTTCACTTTCAGACTTAATGCTTAACTTTAGATTTTTTTTAAAGCGTGTTCACTCCAAGCAAGGCGGTAAAGACACTGACACAAGGGGTTATTGGGTATGGAAGAATTAGATAGCAGACATTACTAAGGAAAAGTAATCAGGAGGACAGTAGATAACGATTGACATTGAACTTAAATTTTTGAATTATCAAAGTTGACTGGAAAGCATGGGGCCAGCAAAATTCCAAGTGCGAGAAAAGAATCTGTTATCATAGAACTTGCATCTAGCCAATTCAACTGTAAATTGATGAGACCTCATCGCCAATCTAGTACTGCGCTTAAATTCATAAAGTCTACGTGGCATATCGAAGAGTTCAAACAATTATTATAAAAGTACATTTAGAAAAAGGAAAGAAGCAACTTTACGCCGGTGGGGGGAAAATAATGGAATAAGACAAATCAGGACCAATTATACTGATTCAATGTCTTTGGATTTTTTTTCAAGGATCTATAGATATATAGCCGGGGCACCGGACATTATGTGGCAGCAATATTATAAGCATGGATGAATGGTAGACTTATAGATATGCAAGATGGATTCTGGAGAGAAGAATTGTCTAGGACGACACCGTGAACCAACTTTCTTAACAGCTGTGCTGTCCATGCCGTTGAAATTCTAGCAACTTTTCGATATTTTTGTCAGCAACAGCAATCATATCCAAAAATAATGGCTTTGAGCAAGAAAACTTTGTACTAACCAATATTCGTTTCTGTAGGTTCTAAATTTTTTTTTTTTTTTTTGCAAATGATGTTTTTAATGTTAAGTGATTGTGTACACAATATCAATAAAAAAAAATGAATTTACACTAACATTTCTCCAACACTGTGTAAAAAAAAAAAAAAATTCAACTACCCCGCCTCCCACATCATCGTCAATATTTGATTAATATGTATGACTATGTAATTGAAGCTTATAGCCGTTCTGTGTTAATTCTGATATTTCCACCACCATTCGAGAATATATTTTAATCACCTAAATACGTCCCAGTAAAAGATAAATACCATTTGAAATAGTTGATGATGATTATTATTATTTTTTTATTTTATTTTAGGACAGCCAGTTCTTTTAATCAAGTTGAAAGCACAGGAACTTTTTTTTTTTTTTCTTTTATATTAAATAACTGGATCAAAATCTCTTTGAGTTCATCTCGTTAATTCGGTGAAGTGGAAAACGATCTCCCTTTCTCGCTCTCTATCTTTCACCATTAAAAAGAAAATTCCACATCATGACGTAACCTACAAGTTTCCTTTCTCTCTCTTGCCATCCATCCCTCTCTTCCTCTTGTAATTAGTACAAATAAATGACCATTACTTATATATTGACCATACGAGGCCTTCCGTTTCCTGTTGTCGCTCATTATATTCACATACACACACGTGTGTGTGTGTATATATATATATATATATATATATATATATATATATAATGTGTGTGTTATCAGCGCATCATCTGATAAGCGTAAAACGAACAAAATATCTCCAGTGACTCAGAACGTCTAGTGGAAATGTGGCCGGGGGAACCTTTTTGATTAGTGTGAATAGTTATAAGGGCTATAATTAATCAGTGCAATTGCTATTGTTTTATTCGATATGGATCGTCTCTCTTTGATGTCACATGTATCGCTATTTTCATAGAAAGCGTTCAGATAAACTACATTCCTTAGTTCCACCTGTTCAAAAACTTATTAAATCAGTTTCGGCCATTAACCTGTAAGTTGTGCACAAAATATAAGTAGCCAAGAACATTCAGTAGTAAAAAAAAAAAATTTTTTTAAAGTTGCAAGTATTACCGACAGAATTTTATATATATATATATATATATATATATATATATATAATGTAAGCAAATATATGGATATAAATCCGACAGTATGAAGAAAAATATATACGGAAAAAACAAACAAATCCTTATATACAATTATGCTGTTTTAATGTTAATATGTCAACGTCAGACGTTTCGGTCTAATAAACCATCTTCAGGATATATTCATAAGTTATAACATTATCAATACAACGTGACAAAGACGATGTACATAAGAAAAAGACTTATCCAAACAGAATAACTGAAAGTTTTATAAGAGTTTTATATAATATATATATATATATATATATATATATATATACACACACACAGAGTAAATGCACGGTTTAGCGCCTCTCTTGAATACTCTCCCCAGAGCGACTAAATGAATAAGTGAGAAACAAAAGTGGTACGCTTATTTGGACCTGGGAATTTAGACAGCATAATTTCGTCAAAATGTTTTCTTTAAAAATTTTAAATAAGCGCCCCGGCGCTAAATCGACAATATAATATAATATTATATTATTATCTTTGTGTGCGTATATGTATAATGCAAATACATTGCTAATGACTTTATTATAGAAACTCATCAAAAATCAACAGTAATTGTAAGAGCTTACTAATAAAAGCTAACTATTATGTCACTTCACTAGTCTCGTACCCCCATTAAGTTTGTAGAGGCACCACATATGCTAGAACCATAACAGCAGTTGTGTGTTTAGGGTAACATAGCCTGATAGAGGCCATTTCTCTTCAAGCTGATCTTGAATTCCGTTTTTCTCCTAGACTGGTTGCCAACTTAAGCTAAGAGGGATCCGTCAGTATTTGTATTTAGCCCTGGTTGAGGATTAAGAGAAGAGATGGTTTCATGCCTTCCTCAAGAATATTTGTGAGAGTATGGACGTAACACAGATTTTTCTGTGTCGCTAACTCTTACACTATCTGTATATGTAATTCTTTTATTTACCTTATTATAATTCCACAAAAGTCTCCTTTTTTTTTTTTTTTTTTTTTTTTTTTTTTTTTTTTTTTCTTTTTGGTCTGTCCACGCATAATTCAAGTGTGGTCACTAAATTATTGACTTTACCCTGGAGAAAGTTTTTAATATATTAGTCTTTGCAAACTCGAGATCTTTCAATGTTTTAGCGGTGGGTTGGGTTTGCAAAGTAAATATTGGCTTTAACTTTGTCATTTTAACTAAACCGAATCACTGTCTTTTGTGTAAAACTTCACTGTAAACTTCCTGAAAATTTCCTAGTCAGAAACAAAATTTAAAACCTTTTCTTTAAATCTTTTCCTGGCCTATTTTTCCGGTCGCCGGAAAATAACAAGACTTGCTTTTAAAGTTGTTTTTATGTTGCTTACATTCGTTGTATGAGAAATGACCACAAACCTTAAACGCCATCAATAGGTTAGTCACAAATGTCTGTATTTATTGCTGCAATTAAACAAGACGGATGAATTTATGATAAAAATGTGGGAACTTGAAATTTCCTTTCCTCACGATATTTGAATTAAATGCGTTCAAAATTCATAATGATTTTTTCTTCTTCAAATAAGATATGTTTCGATAAATACATTCCATCCCCACGCCGCCCAAACAACTTAAAACTTTGACCAGGAATCCATTTGATTAATTTTTGCGCAATAGTTAGTCCTCAAGGTGATTCATTGATTTGTTGTTTTTTTTTTTTTTTTTTTTTTTTTTTTTTTTTTTATGGTTTGACAACCTTTTGCAGGTTATTTAAAACCCAGAAATATTTTTTTAGATTCCAGAATTATTTTTCTGGAGATAATAATGGCTTTGTGATAAAAACTGATTAATTAACCCGTAGCTGGTGAGAAGAGGTGTATTCACACCTTCCCCAATACTATTTGTACGTAAATGAATATAATGAATCCAACAATTCCGAGCCATTATCCATTACACCACCCGCACATCTAACCTTACAGCACCTGGTATTCCCATGCGGTCACCCGTCTAGGTACTGGCCATGCTCAATGTTGCTTAACTTTATTGATCGTACGGGAACCGGTGATTCGACTTAGTGTGGCCGTAAGCCTTCTTAATACTTGGGTTTTAACAAACATCACAAAAACTATAAAATAGAATTTGTAAAAATAATTAAATACGGTAGAAAATGGCGCTTTTAGTAATTTTTTTTTTTTTTTTTTTTTTTAGTTTTATTTATTTATTTTTAGTTGCTTAAGCTACACTGATATACGTAGTGGAGTTGCTTAATATTTAGTCAAATTTGAATACAGCTACTTAAAAAAAATCTGGAATTTATAATCTATGACTTCTTATTAGGACTAAAAGCCCTTGTAACTCTTTCCAGTGACTTTCAAATTGCATATCGAGGCTTTCTGTTCGTAACGAGATCGTATCCATCGGTCACTTATTTAGACGAAACGCTGCTTAACTTTGGTAGTCGGGTCAGTCAGTTATGTGCCATGCGTGATACACGCTTAGGTGATCATGGATCTTTCGATTCATGACTGACGAGGCAGATTTTTTTCTCGTAGTAGGTTGCCATTTCTTTCTGCAGTAGACCATTTGCCACCGAAGGCTATAGAACCCGGTCTGTCCTGCTATTTACCCAGGGGGAGAAGAGGATTCATACCTTTCCCACTAGTATTAGCACGTAAGTGAATGTAATGAATTGACTGAAATTCGAACTCGGCTCTCCGATTCCTCAATCCGAGCCGCTATCCATTACTCCACCATATGGTCATAAGCATTATTTTTATTTATTTATTTTTTTAAACTCTTTCTACATATTTTAACATAGAATTTATAAATTTTCAACTCTTATGATAAATTGTTTCTTTTTTACGGTGATAGATTAATTTTGTCTCATTATTTTTGTTACATATTTTACATACAATGACACTGAAAAAAATATCGCTGTATTCAATAACAAATTAATTTTTAGCAAATTCTGATTGAAAACTTTAGAAAAATATGAATGAAATGGGTCATTAATATCCGCTTTGTTCTTTATATATAATCATTCTGAACGATATTTAACAGTATCCTAAAAATAGCGCTAAATTAATTTCTCTTAATTAAAACTCAACATCATCTGTGCAAAACAAAAATGTAATAAACAAATGTTGTTTTTATACTGCATCAATTTTTACTATATAATTTTGCCTCTTCTAGTAATAAGGCTTGTTATATCTATATAATAAATGCGAATGTCAGTGTGTCAATCACACTTTTCGACTTCACCCCTAGAGGCTGTAGCTCAACAAATACCGTTTTGGAATCAATCCGATCCCGTGAGCAAATTAAAAACTTTTAGGGTTGGATCGGGAATCCGTAATTCTGAAATTTTAGATTCCCAAGTTTTCATTTCTACAATTGTTTTGAAATATTTTTTACGTGATGTTTTTTTTATGGTAACAATTTTTATAAATTGGAAAGAAATTTGTGTATAATAGAAATTAATTGCGAAAGTCGCTTATAAAAAAAAAAATAGGTCCTTACTTTCCGTACAACCAACCATGTACATCAAATTGTCTTTCAATTAAGTGGCGACAGAAGAAAACTTTTAAAAGGTAAGATTAAGTATTAATGCAATACTTAAATGCGGCGATTAATTTTAAGTTCTGTAGTTTATTGTTGCCTATCGTATCTACTCTTCCCTACCTACCTATTGTGATGAGGGCCCAATGATGAAGGCTCAATTAAGAGCCCTCCACGGGAGCTAGTTTAAATGCCGCCCGATCGGCATTTAAACTATAGATTTTATTCTCTGCGTAGAAAGGATGTGCTGATGTTGTAATGAATAGCAACTCGAAATGAGAACTCCAGTCTTGTTCGTTACATTCACTTACGCGAATATACCCTTGGGAAAATGTATGAATCCATTTCTTCTTTCCCCAGCTATGGGTTAAATAGTAGGACGTATCTGAAAATGATCATTGTCTCTCCGCCACCCCCCCCCAAAAAATTAATACAATATTCACACACAAAAAAAATACAATCCAAAATGTTTCGGTTTTTAAACCACAGTATGAATCCGTAAATTAGCATAAATTAATCAATGTGGAAAAATCTATTTGCATTTCAATATAATCTCTTGCGTACATTTGAACTATACGGGACGGGGTAACTGGCGACCCGTGTCTGTTTTTGTGCAAAGACACTAGCTGAAAGAATCCTTGAGGTGATTTCGTTTTCTTTATATATTAGAATAAGTGAATTTTCTTGTAGTAAAACGAATCCGACCAAAAATTATAGTCGACAGACTTTACTAATGACGATATCTCGTAATATCAGAAATAAGTACCCACAAGCATACCTGCCTTCATATGCCATATCCTAACATATAAGCGATCATAGTTCTCCACAACATCTTTTCTACACTCCTTTTGTTATTCCTATTTGTCTTTGAATAGGTGTTAGAACAAGGATCACAATCTGAACTACGTTTCTTGCCGTTTTCCCCCTTTCTCGATTTATGCCTTTTAAATATTAAATTCTCCGAGCCTTCTTTCCTCGTATGTCCTCAAAATGTCTTTTTCCCCCCCCAAAAATGATCTGTCCCTGTTATTTTTAGCATTCGCCTTGAATCCACTTCTATCCTTCACTTCATATGTGAAGATCATTCAACATTTACTGCTATGTAGGAAGTGACACATTACATCGCATTCCTTTCTTCCTTTATAAGACCATTTTAATACTTAGATTCCCTATTCCAATGCGTCTTCGGATTTCTGGTACATTTTCCGTGATCTATTCTTACAGTTAACTAAATGACCTAGTAAAGTGACTATAGTTATTCAGCATAACAGTACATTTAAGTAACCAAAAAAAAGATCGATACTTGAAGATTTATACAAACCTAATTTTTTTTTTTTTTTTTTTTTTTGATAGGGCGGTCGATGTTCGACTGTAAATTTTTCATCAGAAAAGTCATTTCAGGAAAGAATTTTTTTTTAAAGTTTACCAGTGGGCGATTGTAGTTGCTTCACTTCATATATTTTCAATCAATGAACAGATTTTGTCACACAATACCAACCAAGAGAGCCACGAGAATTAATCTCGACATTCATGCACGGCAAACGATCCCAGACATTGTATTTTTGTTACAAAAAGGATAAATGCTTCAAGAATATAGTACATTTTTCCGTCTCGCTGAACATTTTAAAAAATTAGTTCAGCAATTCTTATAACTTTCCTTTTTTCTTGGCAGACCGTTTTCCCCAGTTTCCTTCTTGGCAGACCGTTTTCCCTCCTCACGACTTTGCCCTTCTAGGTAGACTGGATTTCGAGTCAATCTTTCTATTTAACTTAAATTTATCAGTTTTAAATTCACGAACTCGGTTGTAATAAGATTACTGTTAAAGTTCTCTCTTTAAAAGTAGTTTGGATTTGGTGAAGGTTTTTAGTGGTTCGAAAAAAGTATTGATTTTGGTTGCAAGAATAAATCGGCGAGATTGAAGGAGCAAAAAGATGAATGAATGAAAATGACTAACCCAAACGGCGTAGAATAATGATGCCCTATCATCATATATAGTTGAAGATGAGATAGGAACTATAGAATAGTTGTTAATGTTGAAATATCAATCGTACAACAAATCTTTTCGGTAAGGGGTGGGGGCGAGAAGTGAAATAATGGATACTTTGAGTGTTTGGTTGCATTTCAAACCGATTTTAGGCTTTCCTAACTCACTTCGAATTTAATGTTTCGTCCCCCCCCCCTCCGCTTTTCATTTTCTCCACTAATGAAAATATTTCTGCCTAGAGAGTAGAGGATATTAAAATGAGAAAATGTCTTCTCGTCGGAAATAGTAGGAAATAAACTAGACGTCATGGTGCCCCCGGAACTGTTTTAGGAGAGTGATTTCTGATGAAATATTTTACCAACGAACAATGTCATTTTTGTCATACAATCGACGAGTCTGTTCTGAATTTTTGAAATTCAGATATTAATTGACATTATATAAACGGACTATTGTCCTCATCTTTATCATAACATTTCGGCCGTTGTGCTCTCTGGTCTTTATCAGGTGTATGTCGATTCGGTAACCTATAAGGAATTTTGAACTTAACCCTTTATTTAATCTACGGGGATAGGTTGTTTTCGTTGCACTGCCCATGTTTTGTGATATCTCGCTTCGTTTTTATTTAGTATCGCTCGATTATTGCTCGCCCTGTTTCCACTGAGCCCACGTACACACTACCCGGCACAGGGTTTTAACTCGCAATTATGTCATCATATTCACGAGCCAACACTTTAATCCACAAGACTATTTTTCCGTAGTTTAATAAAGGGTTCAATTGCTTGTAGGTTACCCAGATGGACAAGTACAAAGTTGAAGACAAACGACCGCGTGTAAATAATAAATCCTCATTCTAGAAATTCAGATGTTAAGTTCTAAATTGTTGTACCATTTATAATAAATCGGAAATCTATAATAAAAAAAATCCTTTAAAGGAAATTAAGCTTTGTGTTTGCTATTTGTTACGTTCCTCTTAACACGCAAGCGCGTGACAAAAATGTCGGACACGCTCGTTGATACAATTTTTTTGATCAAAATATTTTATGCTATATATTTCTCTCTCTCTCTCTCTCTTATCCTCGCCCCCATCTCGTCCATGGCACACAATGACGCCTCTTTAATTATTAAATGATTTCCGCACCGAATATGTGTTTAGAAAAAAAAATCTCATTTTGCTAATAGAAAATCAAGCACTCTTTTTATTACTTAAACCCAAAACCAGTCTATTCTCTTAAAAGCAGAAAATTTCAGCTTTAGAATGAAAATAATAAAGTCGGCACGCGCCTTCTATTTTGGTTTGCTTTTTCGATGTGAAACGCGATATCCTGAGTATTAGTCGGCCCTTAAATTTAATCAAATTTCGCATTTATCTGCTCATAGCTCATAACTATAAGCTTATTCTCAAACACAAACTATATATATATATATATATATATATATATATATATATATATATATATATATATATACACACACACACACACACGTGCATTTTTAAAGTGCATATAAAGGTTAATAACTGAAACTTTAAACTAATTCGTTCGTT